TGCAATATGTATGTTTAAACAATACCATCATGTATAAAATCCATGTTTTAAAACTGTAAAAATGCACAACCTGCAGACTTTGCTAATGTAGATGCAGTTTAAAATATTAATCCAATGCAGCTAGCACATTTTTTTTATGTTTTCTTGGTCAGTATCACACTTTTAATTATTTATTTTAGTGCTGTCCTTCATTCATTTATATTGTACGTGAAAAAAAAAATTAATATAAGGTTTTCTTAACTTATAAATTTTTATATGTTTATTTATTGTTTTCATTTTAAGTTGCTATGAGTTTTATTAACGTTTTTCAATATATAATAAGGATATAAAAGAACCTGTTTCCCATGCTTTACTGGCTCCTCCTCGACCCCTGCCTTCAGCCCGAGTGCAAGGACTTGAAAAACCCGAATCAGATGATGGTTCACAGAACAGCCAAGAAGGTGATGAAGATGATGACGACGACGATGATGATGAAGAAGAAGAAGAAGCAGAAATTCAAGTAGAAGGGTGAGGGTGGTGACAACATTTTGAATTTCTTACATTTTCAAAGTATGTGATAGCTTCCTAATTTTTCTGACATTCATACCATATTTATTAAATACTTTTTAACATACTTTAAGTACTGAACTTGAAATATTTTTTGATAGAGTAAATGCTCTCAAACTCTAAGATTTACATCATTTACATGTGAACTACGTAGGAGCAGTCATTTCATCTGTTTAAAGCATCCAGTAGGTATGTTGCCTTAAAGTCGTTGTATGTGGGTAATTTCCAATAAAACACATTTAACACTTTTATAATATATTTGTTTATATAGTAACATTTAGTAAAGCTGAGTCTCCCACCTAATGAAAAGCTCATGAAAGAATTTGAAAGTTTGTGATTAAATAAGTAAAAACTTAATTACATGGTTAAAATGCCTGTCATTTGTGTATTTTACACATTACAGTACCTTTTGATATAATACATAACCTCATCTCACGTTCAGCTTTTCCGAATTCAGTGCTGCCCTCTGTATGTGAACTTTTTTCTTACCACGAGCCTTAAGGCTTACACCTAATCTCATTTATTTGCATGTGATATTGATGCATTGTTGCATGCTCATTAGCATGCAACAACCCTCTACCAATAGGAGTGCAAAACTGCCTCTTAGCAGAGTTGGCTCCCTCTATATTGTCCAATAATCACTTTTCAATTTGGCACCCGTGTGTTAAGACATGTCTTTTTTTTTGTTAACATGAGATTTCTCAACATCAATGTTTGGTTGAAATATCTACAAAACCAACATATTTTAGGTTTTTATTTTCAAACAATTCTACCTCTGCAGGTTTGGTGGCTCTTATTTTCCATTACATGAATTACACAGAGATGGTCATTTCTACGCTGTCTGGGGTTGAACATCTGGACTTTGTTCACTTTAGACTGACCACCACAATGATGTTGGGTGCTTCTTTGTCTGCCGAGGGATGTGATGGCTATTGTGCTGTGGGTGGTGGAGTTTGCATGTGGCTTGGGCATTTTTCAGGCCTTATGACAGGCTTTTCTCCTTCTATATTTCCCATTCATGAGGATGTGGATTATAGGCAGCCTTTCCCACTGTCTAAATCTGCAAACAATTCTTCCAGTGCAAACATGGATCTACCTCGACATTCTGCATCCTTTAATGACTTCTACTCAGGTATGTTACCTCTTTTTACTCTTTCCTATTTCTTATTATTCTTTACTTTCTTTATTTCTTTGACTCCTGCTTCAGAATATTATGTTTTCTTCCTTCACCTGATATCCAAGTTCATACTTAAAAAAAACAACTAATTTATATCAACTTCACTCTGGTGCTGTTATGCCTTGTTCTCCTTGACTAGTTGCACATATGCCTTGGCTCACAATCAAGTTGAAGCTCTTTTCTTAGACTCCCAAAGTCTGGCATCTCTTCTTCATGCTTGGGGTTCTGATCCATTGTCCTCTGTTAATCTTTTTCCAGGTCAGTTTTCTCACCTTTGCCTTACTCTCACTACTTTTTTACGATATCTATCCTCCATCCATCTCTTTTTTTGGAAGCAATCCACCTCTCCCCTGAGGGTTTTTTTGTGCATACTTGTTCCCTTCCTTTTTCTGTGTTGGTTTGTTCTTCTTCCTCAACCTTTCTCCTTCTTACTTGGTTACTCTGTTGCTGGAATTTGTTGGGGAGGGATGCCCTTTTTTCTCAAGTATGTTTACCTAACTCTTATCTTAGGAACCTTCATCTGGCTCCTTACCTCCACCAATGGGTTTTTGATGGGGTATCTGAGTTTTGTAGTCACAGGCTAAAGCTGTGCACCACCATTTTTCCTTGACTTTGTGTACCATCTCTCCCAAGCTCCTTTTCTTCCAATTGCAGTCTCCTGTCCTCCCAATTCCTTTCTGCTTCCTGTTCTTCCATTCTGTTCCTCTTCTCCCATTGATTCTTCCACATTGTCTATAGGCTTCAACTCTGTCATTCTCATCTGTGACTATTCTCTAGGCTCGGAAACAGTGTGGGCATGTTTGTCTCGATATTTTTATCTATGGATTCCCTTTATAGCCAACAGTTGGTTGCTATAGATTCTATCAGTAGGCATTTACCCTTTATTTTTCCTCTTCTCCTAACTGGTCTCCTGTTCCCATTCCTTTCCGTCCTCTAGGGGTTCCTGTATCAGACTGGCGTCTTTCTGAGGTGGTATCATTTTGAACAAGGATGCTTTCAAAAGGGTTGCTCCATTCTGACAGGACTCCTCTATCCATACTCTTTGCTTTCTTGTGAAGGTGGCTCATCTAGGTTGTCTGGTCAAGTTGAAGAACTCTCATCTCACACCTACCCACTATTTGGTTCATTTGAGTATGTTCTTCAATTCCCATCTCAGCAGAGCATAGCCTTCTCCACACTGCAAGCCATGGAGAGTTTGGTTTCTACAGCTCTATCCTCTTATTCTCTTCCTGTGGGATAAGTTCTCTCTAGTTTGGGGACTTGGGCTTCAATGGAACCTCTCTCAGTATCCCTTGTCTATCTTCCCCTTCCCTATTTGACAGTCTCACATGGTAATGGTAGCTTGTCAGGACCAATACTGCTGTGGGTGTTTTTTTTCTCTTATGTTGGATCTTCATCTTTTTACAGATGCTTCCATGGTGGGTTGAGGTGCTTCTCTTGACTCTTTTGAGATTTTGCGTTGATGGAACCAGGAGAAATTGACCTTTCCTGTTCACCTTTTTGAGTGCTTAGTGGTTCTTCAGGCTTTCGATCATTTTCTTCCAGTTGTACATGGCCATTTGGTAATGATCCATTCAGACAACTCAACTGTGTATCCCACATCAATCACCAAGAGGGCACTTGGTCTCACTCTTTGTATTTCAGAACCCTTAATCTCCTTTTTTTTTCGACTCATTATCTATATGTCTGTCTTGTGGCCTGTCATATTCCATGTGCCCTGAATTTTGTTACAGATTGTCTCTCAAGACCTGTTCCGATATTTCCCACATCCTCATGTTTTAAGATGACTTGGCTCTCACCTGGGCACTCCTCACATTGATACCTTTGCTATTTATGACAATCCTAAGCTTTCCCTATCTGGTCTCCTATTCTGCATTCATTGGCACAAGTGGTGGATTCATTCAATTAGGACTGGTCCAATCTCTTCCCTTACCCCTTATTTTGTGTCTTCTCCTTCATTCAAGAATCAATCCTGGTTTCCTTTGCTGAACCTTCTGACTTCCTCCTCTCCTTTTCCTATTCAACTCTCCCACTCCCTTCTTCTTCATCCTTGTCCTTTTCTCTTCATTTCAGCTGTGTAAGCACTCTGACTTTGCATGTAGAATTTGGTCGGTCTTTTGCACAACAGTTTGGTCTCTCTCTTCGTGTGTAGCCTACTTCCTGTCTCATTCAGTTTGACCATCTTCCTTAGATGATTATTAGTGGATGTGTCTTATTTATCACCACTGATCTCTGCATTGATCCATCTCATCTTCCATCCCCATCTGTCTGAATTCTTCACATGGCTTTTCGACCAGGGCTTGTATATCTCAACTATTGCTGGTTATCAGGTAGCTCTCTCTCAGCTATTTTTCAGTTTTTCCATTTTAATTGGGTTATTACCCTACCCAGTTCTTACTATGCTGTTTTGTTCCTTTCACCTCCATCACTCTTCCTGTCCTTCTGACTTACCTGACTGAAACCTTAATTTCATTCTTCATGCCCTTACTCTTCCTTCCTTTGAACTTTTGGCTTCATACCACCTGTGATTTAAAACTTATTTCCTCCTCCTGCAGTTGACAATGTTCTAATGTATATGACATCAATTCTTCTCACATTCTGTTCTATTGCTTCTATATTCTTTTCTATCTAGATTGCTCTTTTCTGCTTAAAACATCTGTGATACGTGAGGGTGAGGGTGTGTTTGCCACACTATATCTTCCTTTCATTTTTGCCCACCAATGGCACAGCGGTATGTCTACAGATTTACAATGCTAGAAACTGGGTTTCGATACCTGTGGTGGGCAGAGCACAGATAGCCCTTTCATTCTTATTCCAGTTCAGATCCTAGTTGCCTCCTCTGTTCTGTTCTTGCACTTTATTGTTATTTGGCCTACACTTCTTCCTTTCGTAGTTCCCAATCTTGTCTCTTCATTCCGTGGAATTCTTCGTACCATTTATAACATTTTTTAACTGTTACTCTCACTGTATGGGTCTCACAACTTATGTGTTTATTGTATTCTTCATTGTGTGCATATGCATGTCGGCATTTCCAGGTGTCCTCCCATCAAGTTCATCACCTAACTTGCTCTTTGGCTGATCACTTCCATCGTCCATTTGAGGAGATTGTCTGGGCTGGCATGTGTATAACCTCTCACACCTTTATCACACACTGTCTCCATCATCTGACAGTTTCTTTCAATTGAACTATTGACTGCCTTCAGTTGCTATTCTTCACACACCTACTGTCTGATTGGAGAAGTCTTTCTTTCTTTTTTTTTGATCTTATCCTATTTTTTATAGTCACTATAGTCACTTCCAGGATCATGCTCTGTGGCAAATGTTGCCTGCCAGGGTATACTTAACCAAAATATGTACAGTGTAAGTCTGTCCTGGCCCAATATAGAAGATAACATTTTCCAACACTGAAAATATATTTTCGATAGATGTTCACCTCTTTTCTCACTTCTGGTGCATCTTTCTTTCCTAATCTCAAAATGATGATTGAACAATCAGTATAGAGTGAGGCAGTGTCACATTCCTGTTGGTGAAGGATTGTTGCATGCAACAATGCACCAATATCATGTGAAAACACATAAGATTAGGTGGGAGCTTCAAGGCTAGTGGCAACCAAAAATTTTGCATATAGGGGACAACATCGAATCGGGAAAGCTAGATATGAGAAGAGGTGACTATCTGTCTGAAATACATTTCCAATGTTGGAAAATGTTAAGTTTTATATGTAATTAATAGTTAAAGGCAATGTTTCTTTGAAGCACTCCTATTAAGTTCTAGGGCTGTAACAAAGGGTAGATTTTGACCTTTGAACTGCCAGTAGTACTAACTTGCATGATTTGTTGATGATGTTACCATAACTACATATTTTACACATAATCCATATTAATGAAATAAAATATTCACATATAGTTTAAAGATATATTTTATATAAAACAGTAATCAGTTTTTTAAATTTTAAATGCACCTTAGTTATGTACACATATTTGATGCAACAAGTGGTACTCATAAAGCTACATATAGTAAGCTCACAGAGCAAGAGCACCCTATTGTGGCCAATTAAAAGAACTGCAACTGACCTAAGGAAAACAAATCTTTATTTAACAGTCACCATTCCATGCAAGTTAATAGTCATAGTCTTTTTAAAACACATTATAAACATTATAATAATAAATAGTAAAACGGAGTAATACAAATAGTTTAATTAGAAAATAACAGAAAGTTGCAAGAGAGAGTATTATTATCATTTACATTTTATTTTATTATTAATAACATTGTTGATTAAATAAACATATGTGTAGGGTAGGGGGGAATATAGAGTTAAGTGGTGCTCATTTTTCAAAATTAAAATTAGTAGTGATAGCATGTGTTTTAGGTTTCGCACTTATTCTACCATAACACTTTTACATCTTGTACATTAGAAGTTCAGTCCAGTTTCTGTTAACAAGAGAAAAAAATACCTGACACTGCTTGAATGCTTCCTGACAAACCTTCAATGTTTAGAACTATCTTCAAATTCTGGGCTACTGAAAGAACCTTTGAACATAGCCCTATTAAATGTAAGGCATTCTCTGCTTTAGGCCAGTTTGAAACTATACACAGTTATTACTACTTGTTGTAGAGCTATAACTTGAAAGTACAGTTAAGTGTCATCAGATTTCAGTTTTTGCTGATGGTTCCTTTCCCCCAAAAAATATATTTAGGCTTCTAAAGTATCACTAGTTTTACCCCAAATATCTTATATAAAACAAGAGTAGCTTTTGAGAGCTACATTTATGTAACCAGATATTTCATTGTATATGTTTGATGCCTACTGCCTTATAAAGTATATATACATCTCCATTTGTACTTTATAGTTACTTTAAAAACTTTTTTATTATTATTTGACAATTAACTTCTCCATCTTTATGCTAATCATCCTTTTTTTTTTCTCCATTTTATTTTTATTTCATTTATTCTTTTGCATGAATTTTCAAACTATTAATTTTGAATAAGTTTATACTAATTCCTTTTGGTTTTGGTTTTATTTCTTATGCTCTTATCCTGCATGTAAGTTCTCGACCCACTACTCAACGAGCACGCCCTAGCTCAGCCAGACCTAGAACTACCACAATAAGAAAGCATGTTATACCACAGCCTGTCTCTCTACCTGTCCCTCTTCTAGCACGAAGACACGTGAATATGCAGGATGATGATGACTCTCTGAGTCTGGGGCTTTCAGAGGACAGTATGTCTGTTAGTGATGCACAGATTAGTAGGGGTCTCTTTATGAGGACTAACAGTATAGACTTGGAGGAGCAACTCTATGTATCTCAAGAAAGGGACAGAATGTATTTGCAGCTTCCATATGGGCAGGGTGGAAGGTTTGTTGACGGTGTGCTCATGACCGAATTAACTTTAGAAAAAATAAAAAATACTGTACAAGAGTTAAGTAGCAGTGTAAAATAATCAGATTTAATAATTGGTTATTGCTTTCCTTAATAGTAGTAATGTAAAATAAACAGAGGTAGTGATTAGTTTATGTTTTCCTTGAGTAGTAGTAGTGTAAAATAAGATATAATGGCTAGTTGTTTCTTTCCTTAATAGTAGTAATGTAAAATAAGGAGAGGTAGTGATTATTTGTTGCTTTCCTCAGTTGATAGTGTGAAATTAGCAGTGGTAGTGACTAGTTGTTGCTTTCTCTAACTATTAGTGTAAAATATGCAGAGTGACTAGTTGTTGCTTTCTTAACCCTATTTGTATGGCAGGGGAGGAGGGGTTGATCAAATTACATGTCAAGATCTTTTTACACAGTTACATTCAAAATTTAACTAAACTACTTTATTATCATTGTATGCCAATAAATTTGGCATCAAACCTTAGTTTATAACTCAAATTTTAATATTATGTAAGTTTTAACGTTTTACTGTCAAACTTCCCCCCAGTGGGACAGCAGTAGGTCTTAAGGCTTATAGTGCTGAAAACTGGATTTTGATACTTGTGGTGGGCAAAGCACAGATAGCCCATTGTGAGCTTTATGGTTAACAAGAAACAAACAAATTTGCTTGCTTACTTTAGAAAAAAAGGGGGGGGCATGTTTGTATGACCACCATAACTCCAAGAGGAAAGAACCTCGAAACCTAAAATTTTGTAAACATACTAAGTGAACCCTGAGGGTGTGCACCTTGGTATTATTACTTAACTTATCCATGTGCATGCATGCATGCACATCTTTTTAATGAGGAAAGCTAGTGAAAAACCACATGGAAAAGAAGTGGTTCCTTATATAACAACTTCTAATATATAGAAAAACCAGTGAGTTTGGTAACAATGTGTTCCAACAATGGCTTTTATATCATGTTGCTTAGCAATAAAAGTATAACCTAATATTGTTGCTAAGAGGCTCTGTACTGAAAGTATAAAATGAAGTGTATAAATTACAAAATTGAAAAAAAATATATTTTTTCTAATTTAGAAGCTCCATTAATTAAAGAGATTTGTTTTTTATTATTTGTTTTTATTATTCAATTTTAAAATCAGAGGACAAGTCAGAGGGATGGTTACCTTTATAAACAGACCACATCCCACAAAGGAGCAACAAAAGTATATAGGTTATACTTTTTATTCTAAAATGGGTTCAGAGTACACACACTGACATAGTCATCTAGAATAAATCAACCTAATAACCTGAGCAAAGCTAGGTATTTTCACTAGTTTTTAAATAAATTCTCAATCTTCACTTCTCTATATCACATGATGCCTTTTTGTGCTGAATATTTTTTGGATTTTCTTTCTTCCTTTATATAGGTTTCATCTATACCAACTATAGATATTGACAGGACAAAGTTTAAAATAAGATCCTCCCACTCTCTTTATTTTCTGAGATATCAATAAATTTGTTACAACCAACTAGAAAAGCTCCTGTTAATGTTCTGCTTGATCAGTCTTTTACTCCGTTCACGCAGTGTGCTGTTGTTAGTGGCAGGACAAATGGGATTTTAGGTTGTATCTCCAGAAATATTGAATACAAGTCTAAAAAGAGATTATAGTGTCATTGTATAGGTCGTTGGTTAGACTACATTCATAGTGGTGTCTTCAGTCGTGGGCTACTACGATGATATCTGGAATGGAAAGGTTGTCAAATGAGAATAGGTTAAGATCTGTGAACTTGTTTTCTCTTGAAAAAAGAAGTAATCTGATTGAGGTGTTTAAGATTGTTAAGAGAATTGATACCTCATCTATTTTTATATTTAATGATGAGAAGAGTAGGACTAGAGAACACAAGTATAAATTTTGGCAGGATAGGAGTCATCATCAGCTAAGACAGATTTATTCTTCTTAGAGGTTGGTTGGCCTTTCGAATGGTGTTAGCTTCAGATGTGTTTGTTGCAGTTAATTTAAGGGTGGTTATGGAAAAGCTTGATAAGTATTTGAATGAGAAGAGTAGGACTAGAGAACACAAGTATAAATTTTGACAGTCATCATCAGCTAAGACAGATTTATTCTTCTAATAGGTTGGTTGGCCTTTGGAATGGGTTAGCTTCAGATGTGTTTGTTGCAGTTAATTTAAGGGTGGTTATGGAAAAGCTTGATAAGTATTTGAATGAGAAGAGTAGGACTAGAGAACACAAGTATAAATTTTGACAGTCATCATCAGCTAAGACAGATTTATTCTTCAAACAGGTTGGTTGGCCTTTGGAATGGGTTAGCTTCAGATGTGTTTGTTGCAGTTAATTTAAGGGTGTTTATGGAAAAGCTTGATAAGTATTTGAATGAGAAGAGATGGCTTTGAGTTTATTCTTTTTTTTAGCATCTAGCTTAATTTAGTGGATGGGATGCCATTTTTCAAGCAGATTTTATAGTGTGTATATAGAAATCAGTGCTCCAGTAATGAACATTTTAACTTAATTCTAGGTTACTTAGAAAGCCAGATAAATTGTAATAGTTTGGGGGCATATTATTTTACTGTTTATGTTTTACAATATATATTAGAAAGTTACATTATTTTCTAGACAAGCAACATAGTGTGCAAAAAATTAGTATTTTTTTAACTAAAGTAACTAAAACTTAAATGAACATTTTTTTTTTCATAATCACTCCTCAATCAACATATGAGCAGTTAAATGTGCAGGATGTAATCTGTTCCATTTGTTTACTATACCATCCAGTGATTTACTGCTTGCCACAGTAGTTAGACAAGGTTCAAAGAATAATAAAATTAAATGAAAGCAGTTGT